CAATATTTTACTAATAGGTATCACTCATCTCCACTAGAAGTGCTATACCTTGAAAGAATCTGCCACAATGCAGAAACTAATATTTCTCCCACCCAGCTACACTATTTCCCTCAGGTGGTTCTTATGTTACCAACTGGTCATACTTAGAGGTGATGCAGATAACTATAATGTATGATGTGAAGCTTTCATGGCAGACGTCATTAAATAAACTCTGCCAATGTTTCGAGGGCCGTTTCTGTCCTCATTTTCAAGGCTAATTACCCGACACTAACCTTGAAAAAGAGGATAGAGATGACGCTCAAAACATCTGCAGAGTTTAACCAAGTGACGCGGCTGCCGGCCTCAGATTTTATTAACAATACTGTAACAGTAGCTACACTACAGCTTCTGCGGTGATTTTACGTATGATATACAAAAGCGAACTGTAGTTGGGGACGTTTCAAATTTCTTTTGATAATGCACGTTCAACCTTTATCATATCTGCACTGCAGCTTACACGTGATCAAGCTAGTCATACATCCCACTAGCATACTACTAAACCATTAACTCTGGAGCTAAAATCTGGACAGCAGCCCTACAATAGTGACGTAAATCGCCTGTTTTTTTATATCAAAAATTGTGAATAATCAGCTCAGTCTGATGGCTGAACCTGAAATGACTGCCGCAACAAAGTAGGCACTGGCAACAACTCACCCTCAAGTTACCTTACTAGCTTCAAAGAATTCTACCCATCTATTTAATATGCACAATACACGAATCGCTTATGTGCATGGAAACAGTTGGATCCACCTAGTACACGCATTAAATATCTGAACTTCTGTTAACACGATACTTCCGCTGAATTTTTTGAAATTTCCATCTCCTCTTCATAAACACATTTCACTTTAATTACTGTAATGGATTCACTTAAATGGAAGAGAAGTAAAACGGGGGATTATTTTATTCCAACCAATCCTGATTACGCAAAATGCAACCTATGCAAGCAGGAAGTAAAACGGGGGATTATTTTATTCCGACCAACCCTGATTACGCAAAATGTAACCTATGCAAGCAAAAACTGTGGAGATTTCTGATAATAATAATAATAATAATGTATTACTTGATAATTTGTACATAATAAATCTACTTAAACAGAGAACTTATTTGTTTTAGGAGCACATGCATTACTTGTGTTAGATCTGGACCTAAGTAAATGCAAAATACGGAACAAAAGTAATAGGTATTCTCTTGCAACCAGAAGAGATTGTTTCTGTTACCAAGAGCAACAAATCCCCCACATCTAGTCAAGTAATCAAAAGGCACAATTTGAAACAATACTCTACAAATGGAAACTTAATTATTTCTTTACACTGAACTTCAAGTTTCCATATGCTCCGTCAGTCCTGACTTTCCAACAAAGTACGACTCAAAACTTTACCTACAAGGTTACGTTTATACTTTTGAGACGATATCATGAATTAAGAGTTAAGTTAATCATACAAAATCAGTATTGTGTCAGGTTAAGTCCTTTTATTTTTAATTTGTCATCTCACTACCTCTTGTACTGAAAATGTAAACACACGATAAACATTCACCAACATTCAACATATGAAAAGACAAACGTACTGCAAATATTTCACATTCGTATTCTCTTCTAAGTAGAGTGGAGAAAGCTACAAGCAAGCCAGATATTTCTCACTGCTAATGACAACCTTTAGCTATTTTGCAAGCCCTGTAGCAAAATATTGAAAACAGGTAAGTTGTATATTTACCTTCAACGATTTAGTTGCGAGAAATCTTCGTAACTTTGCCTTGAGCATACAGAAAGTTGTCAGTTATTTGTTCAAACACGGAATGGGACTGAACGTTTTGTAATGTAGCCAGCTGCAACCGAAAAGTTAAAACATCAGTGTCCGAGCTCATTCTTCTTCTGCTGTATGCAACTATATCATACAGAAGACTTAGTCTAACACTGTGATAATCTCACACACAGGTTTCAGCAGTAGGTAATCAATGTAAGGCAATTTCTCCTCGCTCATCCACAACATGACAAACACGAAACCAAGTAGGGTTTGTACTTAAACCAAAAGTAACACGACTACAAAACACTGAAGACATATTTATTTTAAAACTGTCAGATAGAAATTGGTTCCAAGAATAACTTACATTAGAGCCCCAAAATAACTGATCCGCAGTATTCAGTATAAACGTGAAACAAATTTGAACTCCAAAATGTAGTGAATGAACTGACAATTTAGAAGGACCAGGTTATGAGGTACAAAGAACTTTACACTGAGGTCTTAGTGTAGTTACGTCCAAATAATCATACACACAAACAAACAAACAGTAAATTCTCTTAGGCCAGTAACAGTGACCTTGCACTGATTACTAGTAGAACACGTGCCAACAACGTGGTTTCAACACATTTCACCTGCGTTAATACATGTGGGCAAAGCATCTGTGTTTTAGAAAACAGAAATAAGTCGCAACACTGCTTGGTGGAGCTGGTACTCCCAACATAAACACAGTCCTCTCCCAGCCGCAATTCATACACCGCATCATGACGACGGCTGTCCGAGCCTGTTATCAATATGCACGAAGGCTTTCAACAGCCTTCAATGAATAAGGATTACAGACAAGTCATTCCAATTCTGTATTTACTTGTGGCTTCCCTTCCCCATATACATTTAAAGTTTAAAACAGTGTATTTACATTGACAGTCTTCGTGTGTAACCTACACCCTTAATTTAAAGGGAAAACACGTATTGTTAATATTTGCGGACACAATGTAAACTCCAGTGCCAGCTACGCCACACATATCAATTACTTTAGCCTTAAACACTGTTTATTTACCTCACTTATGCGAAAATATAATCTAGCACAGCAATTGAAGGTTAATTAAGCTTACAATTTTAAGACACATCCAATGAAAAATTTCAGTAAAGCAACATCCTAATTTTGTGAGTATGAGTTGGTGTAATCCACTAGTTCTGACGAGTTTCAAACAGATTCAATAAATATGATTAACGCACGATAGCCAATTTACAGAATTTTTGTATACAGTGAAACCTCTATCCATCGTTCCCGGAACTATCGTTTTCCCGGATGCATCGTCCGGTTTGTTCGGTCCCGGATACATCCCATATAAAATAATGTTACATTTTCCCGCTTCTATCGTTCCTTGAACTATCGTTTTATCGCATCGATCGTTCAAAAATCTTAGTCCCAGCCCACAATTTTCCCGCAATGATCGTTTCTGAGAAATTATAACGAAATTTACGCGATATTTTTAGAATTTAAAATGCTGGGTTTTGAGATAAATTAATTCCGAAATACGCACAATGTTTTTGGAATACACAGTAGCGGTAACCTGTTATGTCGCCCAACCAGCACAGATTCTTTTGGAATGAGGGGTGATAGTTGGAGTGAATGGCGGTGCTCATTGTCAGAAATTTTATGAGTTTAATTAGGGTGCACTCATATTCCGTTCCAGCGATGCCAGATTGCACGTGCAGTGTGAATTTCTTCACAAATACTTTTATTACAAGTACAAAGGAAAGGCTTTTCATTCTTCTGGTTCATCTCGTGTCTTCTCTGCATTGGCAAAAGTGAAGTCGTTCTTTTATGCGCGTAATATTAGTGAACGTGACGAGGAAAACATTTTGAACGTGGAAAGTGCTCTGTTTGGTCTAAAATGTAAAGTTTCGACAAACCAGTTGTCCATTAAAGACTTTTTTGGTAAAAAGAAGTAACTTTGGAAGAGAAAATTGTTTTTCTTTAAATTTTTAATGCTTTCCCGCAACTATCGTTTTCCCGCATTCATCGTTTTTATTTCCCACCCCCGCCGAAAACGATGCACCGAGGTTTCACTGTACTTCATATATTAATTGGCTGCCCATAACAGAGAATCAAATGAAATGTGATGTACACAACAAAGTCATCCTGATGACCAGAATATAAAAATATATATTTTTGTCTTTCGTTCGAATTTTGAAGAAAACTGCCAGTTACAATCTCCATATACACAAAGCAATCCCATCCTCCGTTGAACAGGTGTTTATGTCAGCTCCTTAGGAGTCCTTCCAAGTTCAAAATCAGACTTTTAAGGTACGTTTACTAATCAAGGTTGTCAAACAGAATATTGCATCAAAGACAGCAGTGAACCTACTGGATTCCTCCAGTGGCAATAATTTGAAACGCATAATTCTTCTTTCATGGTGATGGTACAAGCTTTGTGGTATAAACAGGTTAAAGGTTAAAAGTTTGAAGAACAAAGCTGCCTTTAATTTTACAAATTTAAATGTCCATACACCCCAGCAAAACAATCATCCTCTTCACATATCTATTTCATAAAAATTATGGTTTTTGTAAATTTGCTGTTACTTGTATCCAATCAAATCTTTTGGGTTCTTCGAGTAATGTGCGTAAAGTAACGAATTTGTGCAGCATCAAATCAGTTAGGGTAAATGAAAGGATGAATTTCAGGTTATCTCAAAATTGCTAAGAAGCATATAAACTTGGTTGAGATCCGTGTGCTTTGACGATTATGGCATTCTCTATCTTAACATTGCAACAGGAATCAATTTTATACTTCCTTTAAGTGAGACGGACATATTAGTTTACATGCCAATTCTACATATTAATTCTCTCAACAAGAAATTAATCGTTCCACAAGTAAATACAGTACGCAGCACTGAAACTTAGCACCTTGCCACTTGCTGGAAGCACTAACCAGTCTGTAATGACAAGGCTAGGTTAGAGTTCCTGGTGTGACATGTATTGGGGTTTAAGCTCCTCTATCCTCGCGATGAAGTCCGGCTTCTCAATGCAACCCTCACATGTTTCATCCCAGTCACTCAGGATCTTCCTCAGGTCCCGCACTTTCAGCTTCTTCAGGTCTACTGTTCGTAGGTCTATTGTCTTGTCTGCAAAAATTACATACATCGTAACCAATTCTAAAAGTCAAGAACAGTGCAGAAAAATTCATCCAATTTGAAGTCTGGATAGAAATGCAAATATCACTGTCCATGCGTATGCACAAGACAGACATTACTCTGAATGGACACCTAATCATTGCATTTAGCAGGCTTACTCAGAATTTAAGGGCTAAATTTCAATTTGGTTTACAATTCTGACAACGATATTACATGAAATCCATACATTTAATTAACATAAATTTTCAAATATAAGAAGCATTCTTCATCTCCTCAAACCACTAACTGGTATTAAATTTACAACAAATTTATATTCACTAAAATTTAAATTTCACATAATCACAGTTTTAAAATGTGCCAAATAAAACAGATACCTCGACCCTGATGTTCTACATAAAGACCAAATCATCCTGAATTTCGAATATCCTTAGATATGTAATTGTGGAGAACTACACCTACGTTCATAAAAGATTTATGGCAAAAAAAGACCACAGGAATAAGATCCCGAAGTATTAACCGAAGCTTTCGCAGCGAATGAAGCTGATGAGCACACAACGAAGGAACAGACTGGTTACCCACCAACCCTGAGGATGAGAACAGAGATGGTTCTCGAAACATTGGCACAAGATTTGGTTTGTTCACCGTTCACCCACCTGACACGGCTTGTAGCCCAAGAATCTTCCATCAACTACTGACTTGAAGTTACTGGACACCTGTATGTCATTACGCTGTGCACTTGCCAATAAATAACACTACCGACGGCATTTAGACGTACAATACCTCATTCCACATATTTCAATATACCATTTAAAATTAAAAAGAATTTAAGACCACAATTTCCCTTTGATATGAACATCACTATAGTGAGTGACAGCTGAGAAAGACGTATTATAGCGCTCCGTACCCTTGCAGAGCCATTCGGTCCGTAACACACAGCGCTCTCTCCCGAGTGGCCAAACTGTCCCATCTGTTACGCTGAACATTAACAACAAATGTTTCACTTCTTTCAGTTTTTAGCAAATTTCCTCTTTAAAACCTACCACCACAAATAGCACACGCGCAAAGAATAAATCTTTCAAACAAGAAAAAATTCGACATAAATCAACATGCCACGTTACACACAATTCATCGAGATGACCGAACATTAATTACATCAATTACGCTACAACATTCATTTATAATTGTTATGAGAAATAATTAGGGAAAACATGGGAATGCTGTCAGTAGACTGAAGTGTAAGGTGTGAGTTATATTTACATGTGACAGACAATTAAAAATACATGGATAAAGGAAACTGTAATCCGGTCAGTAAAACTAGCAATGGCTGGGGGTTCGTCGTGCTGACCACACGTCACCCTATATCTGGTTGGATGATCGTTCACCTCTGCTTAGGCATGTGAACGTGAGGCCAGCAGTCAAGCTAGTTGGTTTTGGCTCCCTGGAGCTGTTACGCCACGGAGTTAATTTAATTTAAGTAATTGACCAACGAAGAAGTATTGAGGAGAGTCAACGAGCAAAGAAGCATTCTGCAGGCGATTACACGAAGGAAAGCTAACTGGCTGGGACATATTATGAGAAGGAATGGGTTACTGAGTGATATCATCGAAGGCCAGGTTGAAGGAAAGCGAGGACTGGGAAGAAGACTGATACAGCTAACCGACGACCTTAAACAAGGAAAGAAGATGACGTTCCAGGAATTAAAGCGAGAAGCCGAGAATAGGGACAACTGGAGAGCTCTTTTTGGGCAGAGCAATGGACCTGTCGTAAGACAGAACACTTAATAATAATAAAGGAAACAGATGATGGTTGTGGTAACAACAGTGTTAAATAGCAGCATATAAGAAATAATGCATTCAGAGTAAACAGATAACAAGGGCTTAATGTAATATTAAGAAATAATGAACGCTGACCCAATTAAGAGACACAATTTTGTTTGAAGCCTAAACAAAGTCCTGTTCAATACTCACCTGCTTGAGAATGAAATTACAAACACTAGAATTTCTTTCTTTCTTTTTTTTAAACCAAATTCAGAAGTGGACATTTCATGGCGACATGACTTATGTTGTGCACAACAAGTACAAATTCCAAGGCTCTGTGGATAAACTGAAATTGCAGTACATTGCCACCACCATTTAATAATTCTTGACTTAAAGTCTTCCCCCTATTCGGTAGCGAATTGTTATGGCCCAGCTCCTTTACCGTAGTTTTAGATTTCCTTCTAAATTTTTTGCTCAACTTAATGTTAAAATCCCATGTCCCTCAGGTAAATACCAAATGGGGATTTCAAAGTGAATGGCTCCCACTTAAGGAAGTCTTCTCCTGCCACAGCAACTTACCATAACGCAAGTCACAAATCTGAGAGTCCATCTTCTTCAGTTTCTCGCACACTTTGTCAGCAGGCATGGACCACGAGATTGGCTTTGACAGTTCTCCAAGAATGCCCGTCGCAGATTCTTCCAGACCTCCCAGATAGTAACACTACAAAATGAAGAGAAACCACACAGATTTTGAAGTAACATCTGAAACAGCTCGATGTCGGACGGAGCAATCACGCGATGCCAGATTACTCCCCATTGCTAAAATTTCAATTTAATCGCATATTCAAGTTGCAATTATCATAATATAAATAAGCGTCACAAATGGACATTTGATATATTATTACACAGGAGTAATACCTCCCTGTGGTCCTTTGTTTTTCTGCAGAATTTTTCGGTCAGATTCCTCGACCTTTTCCGTCTTTTGGTAGGACTTCTTGGAGAGACGGCAGGCCCATCACAACAGACATCGGATATTTGGGCACTAAACACTTTTACATTGTGCACGTAATCTCTGGCCCATTAAGTACATTAAGTGGTACGACAGCAAAAATTCTCTGAAGAGAATGACCTCCAACTATTAATTTTCATCTTTCCAAATGTGTTCCTAATTTAACATATAAACCAAATGAGTGTTTTTATTTTACAGCACGGTGAACAATGTCAAAGAAGTCGGTCCATATTGCCCTCCTGTTTTGAACTGTTGACTTCACAGTGGTATATCCAATTTACGGTCCTAATGTTCTGTGACGGAATATATGTACTAGGCACTTTCTGTGGACATGCAGCAGACCACAGAGATACTGTTGTTGTTGTTGTTGTTGTTGTGGTGGTGGTGGGGTTTAAAAAGGGATGGTTGGAAGGGGGAATTATATTTGTCTTTCCTCAACTTCGGTCACTGGCGGAAGAAATGGTTCATTCACCATTCAGCCACCTGATGCGGCTTGTTACCTGAAAGTCTTTCATCAACTTCGGTCACACTTGTTTTTCAATTGACATAACTCTGAATAAATTTTAATAAACCGTGGTCGACCGATACATCTTTGAAAATGAATAAATAAATACTGCCCCTTCCTGTATATTATCCCAAATTAACTTGTAGCACTTATAATTTGGCGACTTCAACCTATTATTCCAATTTCTTTGGTTTCTTACATCAATCTGAGCCGCTTCTTACGAGGCGGACCCAGAGATCAGTTGTTCAGTGACAAATACAACCCCTGGCAGATTTATTTTTTAATTTGTCATTATTAAATGCAATGCTTATATATTGTAATACAATTACTTGGCAATTTTTTAAGGTTATGATGCACCATAGTGCCTGCAGCAGTTATGGTGGTGAAACGCAAGACATTTCAGTTGATGACTCATAAAGTGATTACTTCTACATTAGAAGTAGAAACGACAAACTCAGATTCCAAAACTTGTTAACATGTCTTCTGCAATAATCTTGCAAAATAATTATATATTTAAATTTAATATTCATATTCATCTTACAAAAATGATACACCAGTAAGAGATGTGCCGATGCAGAAACTCAATTTTGTCCCATTATGCAAGAGTTTCGTGCTTCAACACGTGAGTTTCACAGACTCTTCTGATGATGACGCCATAAAACCACGTGCTTAAAGAGAGAATCACCTCTCACCAATTCTTCTGCTATACTACGTATGAAACTTACAAATCTGTTTTCCTTGCTCTTTGAGGTCTTGCAGAATTTTCGAAATTCGGCTTCTATCTTTTTCGTGCTCGACTTGACGTCTGGTGTTAGTGAGTTGGTAAACTTCTCCACTACTGTTATACATACTGTAACACAACACCACATTTATAAACTGTTTGACCAAGGACTGCCAGTGGTGTTATTCACTCTGCCCCGCTGACTAGTGACATAAGCAAGCTATATGGTATTAAAGTGAAAAGTTTTAATATATAACACCTGATGATGGCTATATATAGCCGAAACATGTCGTGTATGTTCCACATGTAAATCGAGTACTCGATAGGGAACGTAAAATGTTATTTTAATCTTTTAATAATATTATATTGTGATTGACTGCTAATTTTAATATATTTTTAATACCATATAAATCACAATATGACGCATCTACAATATCTTAAGCTATATGGTACTGTACATGCAACCTTACTTTCCCTTCTCTGCTCCCGTCTGGAGCTTCCATACAATGCAAACTTTCGAACAAAATTACAATCCTTGGTCAGACAGGAGACACAAGCACAGAACAATGCGAACGGTGACAATGACTTCCTCATACACATTTCATGACTCACAATGACAGTAGTGCAGCTCGGTCTCACAAATTTCAATACATAAAAGGTAAAGGTGTCCAGCTACACGCTATGTAGGCGCTTGGGTGGAGAGGAGATTTAGCTCCTACACATTCTCGATCTCAGCACTAGATGGGGGGGGGGGGGGGGGGGTGGGGGGGGGGCGCGCGC